GACAGTAGAACATGAGACAGATAATCTGTGAAACAATCAGGTTCCTCTGACTCCTCCTAGTGCTCCTAATGGCATTTGCAAGAAGTGTTACCCAAAACTCAAATAATCACTTAATTCAAAGCTGGATTTTAACAACAGGAAACTCTTTAAGACAGCCTCAAGATCAGGCAATAAAGCAGGACATACTCTAAGGCCCATACCATGTCAATTGATATTGTCCTTTCATATCACTGAAACTTCAGTTTCTCCTACAGACTTTGAAGGATGAGCTGTATTCAGTTGGTTGCAATGTGCAACTTCTCAGCTACGTGCCACTGAATGCTACACACTGGTACTTTAAAGCACAGAGAAGAAGTCTCAAAATGAGAATCACAGAATTATGTGTAAATGTGCACAAATATATGGTCTGCAAATGCTATTTACACAGGCTCCCTGTTATAGCTGTGTTGTGTATCAGTTACCCAGAAAGCCTAATGAGAAAATAGAGCCAGCAACTTATTGTACTCCACACCAGAATTGATAGCACCTCGGGTATCTGCTTATGGATTGTGGAAGTACATTGGCAAACATCAAAATTTAAACTAGTAATAGTAATAGTGATTTCTTAACTGTTCTATGCAAAAGCACCCATTATTCAATATGGCAGGCCTTTGGCATTCTAAATGTAAACCAAAGTCATACAGGGAGCAACTTTCCCAGTTCTCTAAAATTGTTTCCTTTACTGTTACATGAAGAAACAATGAATCCCCAATTTAGAATGTGCTGTATGATCCCATATTCTTTTGTTATTGTGTACACGGTGTAAGCGAAAAGTGATGACAAGCCTAAGGCCCAAGTAAAGGTAAGATCCACTATTTGGTACACGTTTCAGGTACTAATGCAGTCATCGACCTATTAAAGGACCAGTGTGTAGGGTTGAATACAGTTCGCCTTCCAAGCGTGTAAGAGAAACTGTAGTGGTTGTGAAACCCTATCTAAGGCCAGTGTCTGATTTGTCCTCATGCTCTATGTAGGACTATTCAAAATTTTCATTTCTATTTGCGAGCAGCATGGGAATTTTAGTCACCTCACAATGACACTCAACGTTAAATGTTGCAAGAAGATGATTTTAATTGGATGAAGTGCCTTTGATACTGGGAAGTAAGTCGTTTTTGTAGTTGTTGTTGTTGTTGTTGTTGGGACTGGGTATCAAGTGGCTGTCGTTGTTTTCCTCCCTGTCTCTGACGTCCCAGAAAAAGCTCCCGGATTTTTGCTGTTGGTTTTGACTTTTAGTTGCATCAAGCTGGTCGTATTGCTACCATAATTACGAGGGTGCCACCTTCAAATTAAAAGCGGAAAGAAAATTGTCAACAGCATATGCGGAGGGTTATAATGACATTTGACGGGTATGGTGCAGTTTGTGTGATTATGTATATTTTTAAATCAATATTATACCTAATTTCTGCAGAAGTACATTGGATAAGTACAACACCTAATCCAGAAGCAAGCAAGATTAAAGCCTATCTATTATTATGGTAATGATAATTATTATTAATGTAAAAATGTGTAAAATCAATGGTAAAGAGCGGTGAAACCGTGGAGAAAAACTCTCTTCTGTAGCTTGCCAATGCAGGAAACAGACACCCAATGAGGTAAGAATGATTGTAATAACAATGTTTAAGAAGACTGGACAACAAACGTATTTGTAAAATCGTTATGTAACGTTAAATGATGGTAGAACGCAACTGTGTTTTCTTCCGATTAAATATTTTATTTTGAAAAGAGTTAACCGGACGTTTGACTTGTTACCTGACAGTCCAAGCTAGCTTCATAACTGTGTCCTGCTTCTATCCACAGTGAAAACACACAGGTAAGCGCTCGAGCTATTACACAAACATATTTGCTTTACTGCTTTTGTACCGTGTTGGTTTTATAGAATTTAAACGCAGTGTGTAAGCTGCCACTATCAGCCTGAGCGCCTAGCTTGTACACTCACTATCACACATTTGTTATTTGCCGAAGTAAAGTTCACTTGTAGTGTTAATCAGCGGGGCTAGCCACCAACTAGCTGTTAGCACAGGATTAGCCCTGCTAACAATAGCAAACCAACGTTAGAAATGTGCTTTACAGTTCCACGGCTAACTAGTGTTAATTAACCAACTGCGCTCTTTGCTATCCGTGTTACCTTGGATAGCGGTATGTCTGAATAGATACACTGCAACTGTTAACGGTAGTACGGATACATAATGAAATGCTTGCTGTGCGTCTAGCTAAGAAGCTAACGTGACCAGGAACTGTACCCGCCGTTCTGTCCTGATGGAACGTCACACCAGGTTTCCTTTACAGTCTTTAAGCTTTACGGTTACCTTGTTCATCTGCGAAACCACAGTTCTGACACCACTGTTCTTAAAACAGTTTTACACGTAAAATAAGGCGTCTTTCAGTTCGGCTCAATTATTATACTTAAATTGGTGCGCATTTCTGTATTTCTTTCAACTTTTTGAAGTTGGTCAACGTTACCTAGCTAACGTTACTTAATATCACCGAAAAGTCCGTCAAGTAAAGTCAACGTTTACGTTAGTTAAACATTCTACGTTGTGCTTTACAGACATGCTGAATATTTTTAAGAGATAGAGGTTAACGTTTCAGAACGCTGTTTTGTTTTTTTAAAGAAGAACGTCATAAAGTTTTGTTAATTTTGCAACGCGTAAGTTAGCAACGCAGCTAGCCGCTAGGTTCCATGTTTTGCGGGGTTGTCAGTGGTTATACAGGAAACTGCTGCGAAGACTGCTCTGACATTACTAGACCTGTTGGGGATCTTGTCTGTTCCACTCCGCGGTCTATACTACGTTCAGCGATCACCTTCCTCATCAGCAACACTCACATAACGTAATGCTAGTGACAGGCTGCTGTAACGTTAAGTTAACGCTGTTCCTTTTTGTTAGATTACATCATTGACAGCAATTAGCCGACAAGGTAAACTGGCTCGATTGTCAACTTGTACGTTATCTGTATTTTGTGTCACTCCGTTGTCGTAACGGTGTGTAGCTTTAGCTGAGTGTGAAACGTGATCTTCAACCTGTTGGAATCCTTTACTGAGAGTGTGGGTGCGAGGTTGCTAAGCTAACAGCTAACTGGTTACGTACAGGGATGGAGAAGTAAAGTGGTGTTTGTAGGCCTGAGACGACTGACAAGGCTGCTCCTGTCGCTGTTGTACACACGTGGTTGACCTCTGCTGTCCGCTGTTGTTGGAGTCTTGTTGCATTGATAATAGCATACTAACGCCATGAGCATTTTCTCTCAATCTGGGCTTGTCACATGGCAACTGTAGAAGCGCAGCAAATGTTCAGGCGAGTTGTATTTTTGACACTGTTGACAGTGCAGGCATGGCTGACCAATGGGAATATGCTCGTGCTGTTACCACATCAGCACAGAGGTTTTGTCATCAGGTCTTTGTTTCCGTACAATTTATTTGGCCATCCCTGAGAGAAACACTGCATAGTTTGTTTGTTTTTAATATGTGGCATGCTTCTAAAGACAGTTCAATACAGAAATAACAGATACATTTGTAATTAATTCAAAATGTATGTGATAGGATTTAATTCCGCTGTAATAAAGGATTTAAAGTTTTAATAAATCATTTCCTCAAGCTTTATTTTAGACCCATGCACAGTGTTGCATAGTTTTTAATTATACCAATTTGGGAAATTACACTTAATATTCCAGCCTAAATTGCCTGATACATGTTGTGATGTTTTTAGGCATGTTTAGCAAACAATTGCGTGAGAAAGTACAAGTTGCAAAAAAAGGTGAATTGTGTGTATAGTTGATAAAAATGTCAAACTTGTTCCAGTGAAAATAAAAAAGCACAGTTTAGAGTACTCAAAGTAACCTTACCAAACTTACTACAGAGGTTCAGGATTATGAGAGTAAAATGTAAGAATTCAGCTGGTATTACAAAGTCTGAGACCCAGACCTCACCTGACATCTGAAGCTACATTTCCATCTGTTACCAATGTTTTATTTAAACAGAATTTCTGAAACGTATTTCATTGTCTAGTACCCGAAGCAGCGCCGTCCGAACCCCACTACTCATTACGAGTATTTGATCATGGAACAATCTCATTTATTTTTTTCTAACAATTCTGGTTTTCTATAAATTTCTAGCTTTTGTGATCAGCTCTAATGGAGACAGCGGGAGTTTGTGAGATTGATGTGGCCACCAGAAGAATAGTGGGAGGCAGCGATTCTCCACCCGACCTGGACAGCCCAAGTCAGGTAAACACTATCAACATGTGTTTTATGTGTGTGGGGTTTTGTGGATTTTCTCTTTGTCATTAATGTTGAAAGAGCTGTCCAGTGAGATGTTTTCAGCTGCTTTGTATTCACTTGGATGGATGGATGTGTGTGTGTGTGTGTGTGTGTGTGTGTTATCAGGAGGAGGTTGCAGAGTTTGGTTTGGGGCTGTGCGCTGAGGAGGAGAGGGGGGAAACTCCAGGCAGAGAGGACAGTCCCAGCGACCTGGGAGAGGCAGAGCTCGATCCCGGAGGAGACTCCAAATCTGGAGAGGACAAGGCTTTCGGTGGGAACATTACTAGGGACACCCATTATATAAATGTGATGACAGTTTTACATCAGTCAGTTTCTGGTATTAATCAGCAACCAAGTCACATTTATGTCTTACCAAGTCAGATCTGTTCACATTCACTGCACAAAATGTATCTCTTAAAAGCCATTACTCAAACAGATGGATGAAGCTCACAATAATACATATTCCATATCTGTAAAGGCTACAGCATAAAAGCCATGGGGCCCCTCGTGTGCATAAACAAAGCTAAAAAAGCCTCCTGAGGTCCTAATTGAAGTCGTTTGCACTCCGCTGTAAAAGCCCCTGAGGATGTAATTGAGGACTTTCTGGGGAAACACTTGACACTTGTGTTGTTATGACGGGCCAAAAAAGTGAATTTTGCAGTTATTTTACCTAAATAGTTGACATACCTAGCTACTTCATTAAGTAAGTGGGTGAAGTTGTCTTTATGTACATTTAATTTTTTTTAAGCAATGTAAAATTCTCACTGGGAGAATACTGCTCAGAATAATGTTCCCAGTATGCCTAGTGGTAATTTGTTTAAATCAGCAATGGTTAGGTTCTCTCTTCAATATTCTTAACTGTTTCCACTGACGGCTGTATGGGTATGACATTTAACAAGTTAACAGTTTAGTTTATGCAGTGTGCGACATTTTCCACAATATTCTGACTGATTAGAGGTCAGTGGTACAAGACAATGTCCATAACTTTAGAAGAGGAATTCATGTTGTCTCTGCATTAATGTATTGTTAGAGGCAGGGTTATTTATTTTACTATTTTAGTGTAGCAGCAACATCCAAGGTAGCAGGAAATGTTGGTTTCTGCTTCAATTGATACTTAGTTTGAAGTATTGTACACATCTAAAATGCATCACTTCCTCTAAGAACGCACATTAGTTATCATGTCCAACCCATACCAGGTGTGGAATAGTATTAAATCACGGTTGTTTAGCATCAATCAGCAATTCAGAATACTTAAACCATCATTATCTGTGGTGATAGAAGTTAAATGAATTGTCTACCAGTGCTATACAGCGATTCAGCCGTTATGATTTAATTGTGCTTTTTGTTCCAGGGAAAGAAGTGGTTCTTTTAATGCAGGCCCTGAACTCCCTAGCCACTCCTGAGGAGAAGCTGGCCGCTCTGTGCAAGAAATATGCAGACCTGGTAAGATCAATATGTGAATATGTTCATTTGAACAGCCGGACTTCAGTTCAGTCTACATCTCAGTTCTGTTCAGAAATCCACTTCAGTCTGGTGGTGTGCTTGCTGTCTCCTGGGTTTGAGAAATAGCAGAGCCAATCAGAGCTTTATAGGTGGGATTAAGAAACGGGGCATCATTGTCTTGTACCCAGTCGGAAAAATGGCAACAAGTGTGTATGAGTCAGGTTGTTTTAAGATTTTGGAAGTCAACTTACGTTGCCATTTCTTCATTCATCATGACAAACACTGTTTTTAAAACATTTTTACTAGACATCAATTACAAAATAAGCATAAATCAGACATCTTTCTTGCAATTGAATAACTGAAAAAAACTGAAAAACGGTGTAATATTTGACATCTAAATATATTATTTTGCAAAAACAATAAAGCAATTATAAAACATATCCAATTTTATCCCTCCATCCATTATACAGTGGGAGCAATAATTATTTGATCCCTTGCCGATTTTGTAGGTTTGCCCACTGACAAAGAATGGAACTGTGTATAATTTTCATCATAGGTACATTTTAACATTGAAAGAAAGAATATCACAAGAATAACAACATTGTACAAATTTAATATATTTATTATCATATTTTCGCGACTTCCAGTGATGATTTGTGTGTCAGCTTTAAATGGCCTGGACTCCCTGTTAGTCAGCAGAACTGAGGCAGGCTCTCTCTCAGGATGAGTTGCAAAACGTCCTCAAGTCTAAAATATTTCAGTCCAGTGTGTCAAACATTTAGTTTTTTTAATTTTGACATTAAATGGAAAACTGCACTTTAACAACTGGTTTTATTGTGTAGCTTCTGCCAAAAAGCCCCAGTGGTTGCGGTTGGGTATCTTTTATAGGAACTGTACATGAACTAAGACTGCTACTAACTACTGTTTTCAGATAATCTGTGGTTTACATTCTGAATGAATTGTTTGGGCAATAAAATTCAAGTTCACACCTTCAGATTGCTTGTTTTGTCTGACCAATGGTGTAAAGCCTAAAGATGCTCAGATTACGATCATTAAACACTAAAGGAAGCAGAAACTATTCACATACATAGATTTTTTAAAATTAGTAATTATAATGTATTTCCTGTTGATTGGCTGATTGTTTCAGCTCTTACATGCACCATTGTTATCCATGTCTGTCCTTAGATCAGCAAGTAAAGAATGAACAAAAAAAATAAATGTAAAAATTCTGTATGTGTATCTTTTTAACAAACATCCTCCCCAAATATTTCATGCTTACATGTGGACACAAACTTTTTGGTTCCAGTTTTGAAGTGCCAATTACATGTACTATTAATAGGCCGTACTGTATCTATGTATCCAGGTTCAACCATGACACTTTATCTTGTTGATTTTGTTTAGTTGGAGGAGAGTCGCTGCATGCAGAAGCGGCTGAAGGCTCTGCAGAAGAAGCAGTCTCAGATCGTAAAGGAGAAGCTCCACCTGCAGGGGGAGCACAGCAAGGCCATCCTGGCCCGCAGCAAGCTGGAGAGCCTCTGTAGGGAGCTGCAGAGACACAACAAGACACTGAAGGTACACCTACTGTAGCTGGATCCATCAATGTTGTTTTTATCTTCTGTCTTCGCTTGACAATAACCAGCAGCTCTGGCTCTGTCATAACCTGTTGTAGTTTAATTTTCCTCGTTTCAATGCACCTCAATCGATGTCTATCTGACTTAGACTTTTAGCTATGTGACTATAGTGAGAGACCACAAACTCCCACTGAAGGTACCCAGAATGGTGACACA